TTTTTTTTCTGAGATAGAGTCTCACTCTGTCGCCCAGACTGGACTCGACTCACTGCAGCATCCACCTCCCGAGTTCAAGCAGTTCTCCTGCCTCAGCCTCCTGAGAAGCTGGGATTACAGGCACATGCCACCACACCTGGCTATTTTTTGTATTTTTAGTAGAGATGGGTTTTCACCATGTTGGCCAGACTGGTTCACTACGTATTTCCTAGAGGTCAGTTTATGAAATAACATGCAGAACAACTGGTTCTGGCAATAAATGAAAGAGGAGGAGCTGGAAAAAGACACAGCAGGGCCCAGACACCATCATTGCTCAATGGATAACCTAACTTAATGGTTATGTTAACCCCCAGTAACTGAAAACAAAGCTCTTTAGGAAAGACCAGCTAGTGTCTCTTCCTGACATCATGGAGGAAGTCTAGAAAAAAATGGCGACCTGGGGACAGCAAACAGACCCAAAATGGTCTTTTTTGGCCTTCAGGGCTTTTTGTTTGTTTTTTGGTGTTTTTTTGTTGTTGTTTGTTTTTGTTTTTGTTTTTGTTTTGGAAGAGGTGAATTAGTTGCCACCGTTGCAAAGACATCCCGGTTTCCTGTTCCTCTCTGTGGATTGGAAATTGAGGCTTCGTGAGGCCCGCTGTCCTGTGTGGTATCATCTGTGGGGCTAAGAGCACCTGCCCCCTAGATTGGCTGTCCCATTCCCACTCAGCACACCCACCACGCCAGGCTGCTGGGAGTGTCTGGGCTTCGGAACTCTGTTCCGGAGCAAATGGAACATATTCGACACCCTTGGAAGCAAACAACTAAGATGCACCATTTTCAATAGGCTTCCGGGTCCTATCAGAAAATGCTGGCAAATGATTCTTAGTTATGTATAACAAATGCATAGACAGGGAGCAAACGGAAAAGGCCTGGCCAGGGGGCCCCCAGCCTGGACAGCCTCCACACCCACCCTCAGAGGTGCCACCTCCCACTATTGCTTTGGCCTGAATGCTCCCTCGCTCTGCCACTCCTTCTGGCTGCAGCCCCTCCCTTCTGCTAGTAAAGTCCCCTAGAAGGTGGAGGGGACTTCGCTAGCAGAAGGGAGGGGCCGCAGCAAAAGGAGGGGACACTCATCCTTCTCGCAAGACACTGGCTGCCCAGACCTCCCCCTGCCTGCTGCTGGGGCCCTGAACTGAGAGAGGGGAGATATTAGCATCCCCTGGTCCATTTCAGGCTGCAGGAGCCCCGCCCACCACAGGCCAACTTTGCAGTTTGTGATGTGTAGACAAAGCTGAGCCCTGACTGGTCATCCCCATCCATCGGGGCAGCTGTACCTGCCAGCTCTTCCTGCCCCTGCTGTGCTGGCCACACCCCTGCCTGGCCCAGGCTGGAAAACATCCAGGACAGGTCAAAAGTCCCAGATGAGGAAGAATATCTGAAAATTGGCACTGAAAGGGCATGGAGTGCTTGGACACTAAAACGCATGTAGCTGTCAAAGCATTTGGAAACAGTCACAGTGGCCTCAAAGCTCAATGTGACATTTTCACATTGTGATCTTTAAAGGGTAAGAAACAACTGTACCGAGAAGGACGAGGAGAACCTTGGATGCCATCTGTGTCAAGCTGTCCCTGGAAAGAAGGAACAGTGAGTCCTGAGGGCAAAGGCGAGAATAAACACCACCCACCATTGCCCGGGCCCAGCGTTCCTCCGTGATGTTCCACTTTTGGAAAGGAAGCCGGCACTTGGGTACAGAACAACCTGCCTTCAAATGCCAGCAGCGGGATTTATTTCTACATTTACGTTTTATTATTTTATGTAGAAAATCTGCTTTTGAACCCCTCCAGAAAGAAACTGCAAGGAAAAGCCAGTGAGATACAGGGAGGTGTGAGAGGGCCTGCACGCGGCCCCCGGCGCTCTCGGGGAGAGGACCTGCATGCGGCCCCCGGCGATCTCGGGAGGAAGGCCTGCCACTCTGCTTTCTGCAGTTCTTTGCTGGAATTTGTTGCTCATCCAAGCACAACTGATAATTGAGTGGGCTATTCCACCAGCTCTCCAAAAACAATAATGCCACATGTCCAAAATTCCACGGTTGCGAGAACTTTGTATCCAACAAGTTATAAAGTGTCCCTCTATGGTAACCATCTCATACCAAATAAATCTTGCTGTTGTCGCAGACTGGCCATGGTTCTTTCCATTTCTTACTTGGGCTCTGAACAGACCATAAATTCATTGATGAATTAGTCAGAGTGTGACCACAGTCCTTTCCACAAACGCTAGGCTAGGTATGATGAATTTAAGCCTAGTGGCCAGGCACAGGAAAAATCGTACAAATTCCCTCCTCATAAATTGAGGATGAGGCATTGTGGGGAAACGCCCAGTGAGTTCTTGCTTACATCCAGATTCATTGATCATTTATTAGCTGTTTGGACAAATGGTCCAGAAAACGCCCTGCATGGGTTCTGGTCCAGTGCACCAGCAGCTAACCGCGACTGTGGTCAGGTCACATCTGTCTCCTCTGATGCTCAGATGCCCCAGCTCTAAAATTAGTCCCTAATAGGCTTCTGGCCTGAGCCTCCATGATCATACCTTGTAATTTGCCAGAGGCAGGGGAAAAAATCAGGTAGTATCTTGGAAGAAATGAGCAAGAAAGTCTGAAGAGAAATTGATGAATGGGAATAGCAGATGACCCTATCTCCCCTAATAGGAGGGAAAAGGATCCCTCTGGATTTTGAAATCAGAGTTCGTTGTTATTGATTTTTAGAGAGATTCTGCAACCTGAATTTAGCACCCCAGTAGGCAAAGAGGTCTCGGCTGAGATACACCATTCCTCAGGCTGAAAAGAGGCTGTAGATGGGACCTGTCTTTGCCTGGGAAGAATGCACTTATCACCACCTCAAAACCCCCGAAGAGGAGAGAGGCCAGATTTTTATTAGTTCGTTTCTGTTCCCGTGGTAGATATAGAGAAACAGTGGGAAGATGATGGGGGAAAGCAAGGTTCCAGGAAAGGTCTGGGTGTATCAGTGAACAGCAGAGTCATTATAAATACATAATGTAATGTAGTCACAAAAAGGAATTTTTTTTACAGGTATGATACACTGGGTGCATACAAAGAAGCAAACACTGCAGGCCTGGGTGAGAACAAGGCATCCTTTATTCTGCAGATCCCAACCTTAGTTCAGCCCCGAAAGAAGACCGCAGACGGTTTGGAGCACCCCAAGTTCAGAGGAACATTAAGACACTGGAAACCTTCCAGAAAGGAGCCACAAAGCTGAGTTGCAGGCTGCGAGGGCTGAGCAGTGGAGAGAGGGTCAACAGCACGAAACTCTGAGTAAGTGCTGCGGCTGTAAGTCAACTGGGGCAAGAACGACCTGAAAATAATCCCAGGGCCTCCCCCATGAAGAAGGTTTCCATTCTGCCTAGGATGGAGACCTGGGCAGCTGTAGACCACACCCAGGCTAGTGGCCAAGGAGCCCACGATGTATTTATAACCTTGCAGCTTCCAGCCCCGTGGTTGCTGGCCTGCCCGTGCTAGGAATAGCAAGGTTAACTGTCAGGGACATTGTCCCACAGGGGGTAACAAGCTCCAAAAGAAGCAGCCCCCAGGGACAGGGTAATGAGCCCAGGTTAGTGTCAGGTGTGTTCACCCCTCATTTTGCACCTCCTCGCATCTAGCCCTGCTCCTCTCTTTACTGTACGTTCCTTCCTCCCCACTCCTCCCTGCAAGGATCCTTCCATTACACCAGCTTCCCCAGTCGAGGAGGACAATGAGATGACGAACAGTTCCCCCTGAAAGTGCAGGTGGCTCTGCAGATTCACCTCCGAGATGGCAGCACCTGTGCAGATAGAAACGCCAACGGACCTGGTGGCTGGGGACTGTTCTGGGCCACTGTCCCTTGTGTAAGCTCCTCGCTCAGCCTGGAGCCACCGCAGCATCGGGGCAGAGGCCAAAGTCTGCTGTCTTCTGGAACAAGCTGCCAATCCTTCCCTTCCCACAATCATCCCAAGCATATCCTTCCCTGAAACACATAACTGCTTGCTGTAAATTAAAAAAAAAAAAAAGATACAACAAGATGTGAGAGAGTTACCTGCTGTTTTCTAGCTTTGAAATCAATGGTCTGAGAAAAAGCGGCTTTCCGGTCCATTAACAGGATCGTTACTGGAAGCAGCTTAGGGATAGATTATTCATCCCCCAGCTGGGGAACGCTCTCATGGGTCTACTTTAAAAAAAATAATAATACTGCCCTGGCTAAAAACAAGTAAGGTACAACTGAAGTGATAAAATCAGTGTAGAGAAAGCCCCATGAGCCCCAGGAGAGGGGTCCACCCCTGGAGGAGAGGCGTGCACTGCCCTAGTGGATGACTTAGCTGGGAGCCGCACTTGCAGGGCGGGGGAAGCACCGCATGCTTTGCTGGTGGACCTGGGGACCACAGAGGGAGCCTCATTCCTGGGAAAGCCAGAACTCTGAGATGAGAATCTCTGGGAGATGTGTCTACTTTTCTGCCTTAGAAAGAAGCCTTTAGAAGCACAAGAATTCGCTTATAATTCAGGCTTGGTCGGGGACGCAGGTCCATCCTGCGGTGTTCTCCTACCACAGAAGGGCACAGGCTGGGATGTCAACTGACCTGAGCGATGAGTGGGCTGAGGAGGGGAAGGCAGTGCCGCCGGTTCAGGGGGGAAGTGGGGGCGTGCAAGTGTGTTTCAGCAACGCTTCCAGCTGCTCGGCTCCCCCCAGCATCCTCCTGCATCCCTGCAGCCCCTCGCCCTTCTTCTCCCACCTGAGCCTTTGTCTTACAGGCTCTGGGTTGGTGGGGACAGTGTGGATGGTGGAGACCTCTACACCTGGGCCTCCTGCTGGCCCTTGTACTAAAACAGCAGCTGGGCAATGTCAGAAAGGCTGAAGGAGGGACTCAGAGAGGCCGCAGGAGGGTCAGGCCTGGGGCAGGTGACGCTACTGTCCTGTGAAACCAGGAGAGCAGATGAAGGACCCCTGTGTCCGGAGAGGACTCAGCCTGCCCAGAGGTACCCAGGAAGCCTGGGAGTTGAGGCTTGGACAGCTTGTGGGGTAAGTCCCAAAGATCCCAGCAGAGACAGTGGGCAGAAAGCCTCCTGAGCCGTCTCTGTAGGGCTGGTTCACCCATGTGACAGCCACAGGGTGGGGAGGGGCTGGCCACAGTGAGGGGGTGCGCTGACATGAGAACCCAGTGCTAGGAGGCTGGCTCTGGGCACAGCCCAGCCCCCTCGTGTGCTCCCCTTGTGCTGCCGTCCCAGCAGCGCCCCATCTCACTGACTCCACCTTCACATGTGGCTGCCCACTTAGGGCCATGGCTGAAGCCACTGTCCCTGACCACAAAGCTCTTGGCTGATGGGAAGCATGACAGCACTTGGGGCTCCACACTGGAAGCGGGACCATACAGAGAGGGGGATGGGGCACAGGGAACGGGAGCTGGGACACACTTTAGTCAAGGTGGACAAGGATGGAAGCACCGCCATGTGGGGCCACCACTCGAGGAGGCTGTGGGCCACCGGAGCTCAGTGACACTGCTCCCAAGAGTATAGATCACTGGTAATGTCCACAACAGTGTCCCTGCCTGTGACCCAATAATTCCACATCCAGGGACACACGTCACAGAAATGTATGAGCAGGCACAACAGCACCGAATGCGAGGGCTGCACAGAGCCTCTTCACAGCATCCCCAAGCTGGAAGCAACCCAAACACCCAGCGGATACAAACAAGTAGAAAATGAACAAAGGAGCATGACAAGCAATGAAAACAGCGAACCACAGAGATGCACACGAGGTGGGCTCCACCTCACAAGCCTGAATGTAGGGGGTGGACACACAGCTGATCATTGTACTTTCCATGATTTATTTATTCATAAGAGGAAGCTGAAAAAATTACACCATCAACAAAGTCAAGAGACAAATGACAAACGGAAAAGAATGTTTGTAATTCCATATCATAGACCAGGATTAATCTTTCAAACACATAAAGAACTTCTATAAATCAGGAAGAAAATGTCCAATAACCCAACAGAAAGGAGGGCAAAGGAGCAAATGCCTCACAGAAAAAGAAATAGAATACATCAAAAAATGTGCAGTCTAACTCAAACGAAATTCTAATTCAACTACACTGAGATAACATTTCTCACTTATCACATTGGCAAAATCCAAAATTTGGCCAGCACGTTAGGTTAGTAAGGCTGTGAGGAAGCAATCCATCTCTTCATGGCTGGTAGGAGGCAGAGATTACCTCTCTGACACTGATGAGAGGGATTTTCTGTCTATCAGAACTATCCGTGCATGGCCCTATGACTAGCAATCTGACTTAGCGAATTCACCCTGTGGATGCTCCCTGTTCCGTACTTAATGACATATGGCCAAGGCGCTCTGTTGAATCTGTGCTTGTTATGGTGAAGGCTGCCACAGCACACATGTCTGTCTACAGGAGCCAGGTGAAATCAACCGAGGCCTCTCCACCCCATAGAACACCAGGCAATTCTAAAAAGGGAGGCCCTATGTACAAAGGGGATACCAACAGGACGTCATGTTAAGTGAAAAAAAAAGCAAGGTTTTATTGGTCATGAAGAATGAAAAATACAAATTTTTTAAATTATAAATATATTTCCATAAGGGATGCACATACTTTCACCTCCCCTCCCACAAAACTAAAAGATTAGGCTGGGCACAGTGGCTCACGCCTGTAATCCCGCACTTTGGGAGGCCAAGTTGCGCAGATCACTTGAGGAGTGGAGTTCAAGACCAGCCTGGCCACCATGGTGAAACTCCGTCTCTACTAAAAATACAAAATTAGCTGGATGGCGTGGTGGCACACGACTGTAGTCCCAGCTACTCAGGAGGCTGAGGCTAGAGAATTGCTTGAACCCGAGAGGTGGAGATTGCAGTGAGCCGAGATCGTGCCACTGCACTCCAGCCTGGGCAGCAGCAGAGCCAGGCTGTCTCAAAAAAGAAAAAAAAAACCTAAAAAGTTATATTTGCCTAGTTATATAGGAGAAAGACTTCTCAATGTCTGTCTTCTTACGTCTTTTTTCTATTTAAATCATGCTTACGGTTTGCTATTCAAACAATAAAATTTGATTTAAAATAAAAACAGAGAACTGCCAGAGAAACTCAAGGCTTTCTTCTGATTTTTTAATAAAGTTTTAAAAATGTTGGTAATACTTATTTTGAAGATTATTCTATGTCAGGTCAAAACCCTTATTCTCAGCATTTTACATAATCTTGGTGTCTATTGAATTGTGCAAAGCCAACATTTTACCAGGTGAGCTTAGGGCCTTCGGGGAGCTCACAGCACCAATTCAGAGCATGAAAGCCCTCCCTCAGAGGCAAGAAACAGGGGCTTTCCTCTGCATATCCCACCGGCCCTCCCACGTGGCTTTGCTTGTGGAGACATTGCTTGGTTTCCCCACGGGCCCCTGGAGCTCTGTCTTAAGCCCACACAATCGCCTTTCCAGATAATTCATAAACAAATATGAAGGTGAGAAGATCAGTGGAGCAAGGGCGCTGGCTGTCGTTCAACAGAGAGGGGATAAGCATTGCTCCAACTCAAAACACCCCTTCCCCCTTCTGAGCCACCCAGATGCCAGAAGGCCGCATTCATTCTAGTTCTCTTCATAAGAGAGAAGAACCGAGGTGTTTCACATGCCTGTAACATGGGGAGGAAAAGCCAGGATCCACTCTCTCCCAGGAGCTCCTGGCTTTAGCACAGAATACACTGCAGAACATTGCTGCCGTGGAGATGATGGCCCCGAACTGCCACACTCCTCGGCGAGGTGATGGGGTAGGGACCAAGGCTCTGGCAATGCTGCCAGGTATCTCCCCAGCCTCCCCACATTCTGACACCCCACTGGTAGCTTTTATGCAGGTGAAATTGGGTTTAAAAAAAAACGTTGGGAAGAGACTAAAACACTCCCTAAAAAGCTTCCGCTGCCAGGAGGAACGTGTCTGTAGAAGGAGGCAGTGCTGCTTCTAGGCCGCCGTGGGTTCCCTGGCTAGCTCGAGGAGAAAGGGTCTTTCTCGGATGCAGTGGCAAAGGTGACTCTGCAGACTGGCAGGGGACCATGGCCACTGCCCAGTGCCCACAGAGCAGGGCCTTTCATGTGGCCGACTGAGCCATGCTCTGCATCCTCAGTCCCCACCCAGAGGATGGGTCAGGCACCGGCTTCCTGGAGGGCCGGGGCAACCTCCAAATTCCCGAGAACCCTGTTGTTCCAGCCAGGCGCCCCCTAGAACAAGCAGAGCCAACCTCAACATTTTATTTTCTTCTTCAATTCATCCTCCTAAATTCTTTGACCTTTTCCAATCTGTGACTTTGGGCTTTTTCTGTTTTTCTTTTGCAAAATAAAAGAACAAGGCAACAAAGTATTTCAATATGGAAAATTATAAACTTCAGTTTTTCCCAAATCAGGTAATGTTGGTGTCCAGTTATTTTTCAGAGCCGTTGTGAAGGGAGTTTCGGGATGTACAAAGGCCTGTCAGATAAGGAACTATCAGTGCTGATTGGTGCTCTCCCAGGACAAGACCTGTGACTGACTAGAAGTCCCTTTATTCATCAAGCCAGCACTTTTTCCTCCAGAAAACTGGAGATGGTAATTGCTACTGACTACAGCTACTGACAAGTGGCATCCCCTTAATTGAGAGTGGAAGACATGGAGGAGATGGAGGGCGACCCGGAGGCACTGGTGCTCACCTCCACGGCAGGGCTCCAACCAGTGTCCTCCTTCTTCTTGCTCTCAAGGGTGACTATTTCCTACCAATATAAAAACACAGGTCCGGGGATGTCCCCTCCCCCTCTTATGTGGCATTGAGTGAACGTGGCCAGAACTCAGACTTCACTGCTGTTACCATTCAGGTTCACGCTCCTGCTTTTTTCTTTTTTTTTAGAGACAGAGTCTCACTATGTGGCCCAGGCTGGGGTGAAGTGGCATGATCTCAGCTCACTGCAGCCTCCAACTCCCGAGCTCAAGCCATCAGCCTCCCAAGTAGCTGGGACTGCAGGTGTGCCCCATCACACCCAGCTAATTTTTCTTCTAATTTTTTGTAGAGACAGGTCTCTCTGTGTTGCCCAGGCTGGTCTCTAACAGCTGTCCTCAAATGATCTTCCTGCCTCGGCCCTGCAAGGTGCTGGGATTGCAGGCATGAGCTACTGCACCAGACCACACTCCTGCTCTTCAAGCAGCCGGCAAATTAGTGCATTTGTTTGCTGCTGAGAAAGAATGGAGGGCATGATCTGATGAGTCTGTCTGCTCCTCCAGCCTCCCTTTCCCACAGGACCAGGTGCAAGAGCCTGCAGTGCCCCCAAGGGAAAAAGAACCCTGTGGTTCAGGTTTGCATGGGCTAGACCAAAAGTGTAGGCCCTGCGTGTGTGTGTGTCTCTGTGTGTGTGTTTCTGTGTGTGGTGTGTGTGTGTGTGTGTGTGGTATATTAAATGTACTGGGTATATGAGAGTGTGCGTGGGGGTGTGTGTTGAGTGTGTGTGTATGAGTATGTGGTGTGTGAGTATGGATGTTTGTGAGTGTGCATGTATGTAAGTTGTGTGCATATGTATTGGGTGTGTGTGTCTGTGTATGTGTGTGGGTTGGGTGTGCATGCGTGTATTCGAGTATTGTGGGGTGTGTGTGTGAGGGAGAGAGAGAGAGAACATCTTTTAGGTGACTGAGCTAAGTTCTGAATTACCAGAGAACCAAAGCCAATGAATTCAAATGAAGAATTTCTTTTTTCATTGAT